TATTGATTTTGTAATCAAGAACTGATCAGTCTAACTAGTCGGAAGAGCACCAGCTATGTCCAGCCAATGCAAGCATTTTAAAATAAAGCCTTACATTAGGATAAATGTGCGAGTTTATTTGCAACAGATTTAGATTTGCTTCAATTTTTACCTTGATTTACCTTCTCAAATTCCTTCCAGCTTGAGAATCAGAGGTCAGCTAAAGTCTGATGATGATCAAAAGGTCGGCCTAGTGCCTGACCTCAGGACACTTGTAATGTATTACACAGTGTGTGCATAACAATATCAACAAATACGTCTAGCTGTTTACATTCCTTATAACTGCAGGGCTCCATTATCAGAGGTCTGGTTTTATGCTTTGAACAAATAAAGAATTTAACCGGATGGAGAACGATGCACACACACTTCTACTGCTTATGGCACAGGGCTGGTGGAAGCCTTGATAGATCTTAATTTGTCTTGTGAGTTGATGCGTTCTGATGTTGGACGATTGGCTCACCATTATTACATCCTACCATAGTGATCCTTTCTGTTCTATTTAGGAGTCAATAGCAAGGTTTGGGAGAACACCAACTTGGGGTTCCTGGGGAACTGTGGAAGAGAGTAAGGCCTAATAGAAATTGGTGTGTGGCATTACGTCAGTGTACTCTACACTCACCCTCCCACACTCACCCTCCCACACTCACCCTCCCACACTCACCCTCCCACACGCACCCTACACTCTCTTTTATATGCAAACCTTCTGTATAGCTCACCGCTTTCCCCAAAACTACATCTGCATGTTAAAAAGGTTTCATCTTCATTATACTCAACAAGTTTTGAACCTCTTGGTCTAAGTTCACACTGGCATTCAGACTAAAACAGCACTGAATCACTTCTAGAGTTTGTATTAGATATGATTTTTAGATGCACTTCAGAGGCATTAGACAGAAGCTCTCCAAATGCATTTTGTTTTTTTTGGGAGGTGAAATGAAGGAACAGAGCTTTATCGTAGTGTTGCAAAAACGTGTGCTAAATGCCTTAGGAGCTTTCAGAGCGTGTTTGTGGTGTGCTTCTATTGAGATTCCCAAGTTGTAACGCTTATCAAAAGGTCTGTTCTTCCTGTAAACAAGGTCTTAATGTACATCTATACTGGAGGTTCCTGCAAATAAACTGCCAGCAGGACACAATGGTAGGAATCTAGTGGTGCTTTCACACTCCTTCCAAAGAGGTCCAAGAGCCCCCCAAAACCGAGGTGGCTCAATTATGCAAATTTTTTTTATGTTTTTGCATATATCTACTGCTTACTAGCAGTAGATATATACAAAAAAACCAAGAGGGTTTAATTGTCCTTTAAATATGCATGGAAGTGTCCACACACATCTGGCTGCCTGTTTACTTGCAGTAACACAAGCAAAGGCTTTAACACTAATAAAACATGGGTCCATTCTATTACACTGAATAATATGCAAAACTGCCAGACCCGTGGAGCAGTGTTAGTTTCCATGACATGCTTTTTAAACAATAGCTCTACACAGTTACAATATTTAGACAAGCCAGTAAGGCTCTGCTTTGTACAACAGCAGGCTTAAAAAAGGCACACAAGTGACAAAGCTCCAGCAGATGGATAGCTAAAACCGGTGTGCATCAGAGACAACGAAGAGCACACCCAGAATCATATTGCTTAAGCTTTCAGAACATAATTACTAGGAATGCACAGATACCGGTTTTTCCGTATCGAGTACCAATATTCCACCTCCCCCCCCCCCGTATTTGCCGCTACCAGAAGTCGACGGAGCATGGAGACTGCTTTCTGGCCAATCAGGAAGCTGGGGGGCGGGTAATAAGTGGTTGCCTAGTTTCCTGATTGGCCAGCTTCCCGACCAATCAGGAAGCCAGGCAGTGAGTCATTACGCACTGGTCGGTCAAGAAGCAGACTCTATAGAAGCATAGAGCCAGCTTAGCGGCCAATGAGGAAGCCGGGAGGGCGAGTCATTACCCACCCCCCAGCTTCCTCATTGTCCGGGAAGCCAGCTCCATGGCGACGAGGAAGCATGGAGCCAGCTTCCAAGCCAATCAGGAAGCTTCCCGATACCAGAAGTTCTGGTATAGGGCTAGGCGTCGGGAGCATTTGTGCAAATACGAGTACTTGCCCAAAAACTCATCCTTGTATCGGCACATCCCTAATAATTACTGATTACCAGATTTAGTTAAAAAGTACTACGATTTAAACAATGCAACTTTAATATAAATATATATGCCCAAAATCAATTTCAGGGTGCAACTCTATGCTGTGGGTACAAATTGTAAAGAACAAAATTCAGTGTAGGAGTGGCAAGGCTCCATAATATTCACAGATCCCCTTACCTAGCCGTGTGTTTGTAGATAAGGTTGTTGCGTTAGAAGCTGCGGCTGAGAATTGCTGCAAGAACCTGAAGGTTCTTGTGGTAGGAAACCCAGGTGGATCCATACAGGTGCGTCCGCTCTGTCCGTTCAAATAAATGACAGGTTGAGAGCGGCCGCATCTGTCCACAGGTAATCGTGAACGAATACCAGCAGTTCGAGATGGATGACTGCCCCTGTACGAAGGTTCGTCACATGAATCCTCAGCCGCAGGTTCTAGCTCCATGTGCATGAGGCCTGAGGCAGTCATAATGTTAAAGTAAGCCCTTCCTCTATCAGTATTTAGATAAAAGCTGCCAAGTATGATCTATTAAATTGCATAACAGCCAAAATTAAAATAACAAAACCAATAAAAATTATTGCTATTATTATTTAAATTTGTATTCCCTAATGGGTGTCTCCATTTTTCATCCTTGATTGACAGCCTGAAGCAAGTCAAAGGCTCCGCTGCCCTTCCTGCAGTAGACATGTCACTGCCCTCTGCATGCATCAGCATCCAGGAAAGCACATAGGAGGTGGAGATGAGTGTTTAGCAATATGTTTTCATGCATGGGCAATGAAAATCTCACTTTAAAATGGAACCTGTGTTTGCCCTTCTATGCTAAAGGAACTTGTGAATTTGGAGAGAGTCAAGTTGACTCGAGATATCTGAGAAGCTGAAATACTTCATAAGATGTGCCCCCAGGCCACCTCTACCTCTCCTTATCTCCTGGCTGAGTGGAGGAACTCCCCTAGGTGCGAATTTGCTCATCAGAAATCTCTGATATATGGCCACCTCTATAAACTTCTTGATAAAGCTACGGCGAAACGCGTTGAAGAATGGACAAGTACAGATTTGTCAGAGGAAATATGGAACATTATGAAATATGTGACAATATATTTGACCAATTAATAACTATGGACATTGTTATAATGTACTCAATGCTAAAGAATATTAATTATTGCCATTGTGCACAATACAAATCTGTACGGGATCCTAGAGGTGTTATGCTGATTATACATGTAATGTGGTCTTGTCATAAATTATTGTGTTACGTTTTATGAATTCAATGTTTGCTAGCCAGGATAATAATCTATATTAAAATTTAAATATATATTATGAAATGAGCTACGTGTCATTATGTCTAGCTGCATCTCTTTGCATTGTCTAGAAGTCACCTAAAAAGCCCCATTCTCTTTGGTTGTTATTTATGGTAAAGGAACATGTTCCCTTGACTGCCCCAAACCTCCCCACTGGCTTATACTCGTCTTCTTTTTGGCAACCAAACTCCAAGCACTGGCACGGTCACGTAGGAGCTACATGGTCCCCATACCAAATGTATCTGGTATTTCTCCTGAAGGCCCAATGGAATAGCCAACGGAGTAAAGGGAAGGATTGCAGTTAAGTGAACCAGTTTTATTTTTGTACGATATAGGCAAAGCACGGGTTTACATTTAGTTCAAAGATTTTTGCTGATGGGGAAAGCATCACTAGGCTGCTTGTCAATGTTTTCCCTCTTTGAATGTTAACTTTTGAACACTACAAGATTCATCAACCAGCTCTGAATGCAAATGTTGACCGAGGACATTATTTTGTAAAGTCTCCTCTTATTCATCAGCAATCAAATTATACAATTATTTTTTCTTAAAATGAAGTCGGAATGACTAACTGGAGGTGTTTGGTCTGCTTTCTGTCCATAGCTCCCAATGAAAGGCACTGAGTACACCAACTAGTGTGCAATTAAAAAAGAACAACAAAATATGTTACCCAAGATACAGAGAGAGTCTGGGAACTCCTCTTAAGAGGCCTTTAGTCTTCTGCATCTGTGCCCAGAAATGACCACAAAAGGCCAGATTACAAGAAAAGGATAAAGAGTTAGAATTGTACATATTTTACTTTCCTTCCACAGTAATCCAACTTAAACACATTACAGATGCACCGATACTGTTTTTTCGTCATCAAGTAGCGTTTTTTTTTTTTTTTTCCAGTACTCGCCGATACCAAGTACCAATACAGGTGCCCGATTATCTGGAAGCTGGGCGGCGGGTCATCCTCCCGGCTTCCTGAAGCGGGTGTTCTATCAAAAGAACACTGACTTTACTTGCCAAGACTGCCTAGTTTGCTGACCAATCCGGAAGTCGGGCGGGGTGGCATGAGGTGCCATCTGGCTTCCCGATTGGTCAGGAAGCCAGGCTGCCTAGCAACAAGTGAAACCGGCTTCCTAGCCAAGCAGGAAGCCGGGAGGGGGGTCATAACCCACCACCCGGCTTCCTGCTTGGAAAGGAAGCTGCTCCATTCTCCCTCGGCACTGCCGGTCACAGGGAGATCTCCCTCTGACCAGAAGCTTCGGTATCGGAGGTAAGTATCGGAGCATTTGGGAGAACCCAATTACTCGGTATCAGTGCATCCCTAAACATAGTGCCGTGCTTATCCTCTTCTCAGCTACTAGCACCTTCAGAGACAACGGCGGCATATAAAAAAAGTCTCAAAAAGAACCAAACCACGGCCAGAAATACAGGGCACAATAAGAGCCGTACTGCAGGTTAGGGATTTGCTTTGGGTAATCCAGTGGAGGAGGATTGGGTTATAGACTTACACAGTTTTAACAACGACATGAGATCTTTCATTCATTACTTACACAGTCTATTACCTTAGTGGCCTGGGGAGTGGAAACCACGTGTACTGAGCTGGCTCTGACACCGTTGGATTTAGGCCGCTTATAGAGTGCAAATCTGCTTTTCCGTCTCCCTCTGTCTCCATTAGGAAGGCAGCCATTGTACCTATAAAGAGAATACATGAGGATATATTTATTTTATGTGCATAAATAAAAAAAGCATACACGAGAAACACTGAAAAAACGGTCTGTTACATGGCGATACTACGCAAGTGTACAATATGTACTTTGATTTCTTTTCCAACCAGGTAAATTTTAATGTTCTGCTTTCTTTTCCCACCCAAACCTTGGTATGATAAGCCAAAAGGCTTTTTTCTCAAATTATTGAAAAACTGGGGGAAGATTTAGAACTTTTACTGCTTTGTGAAGCTCCATTAGAGAGATTTAACCACACTTCCCGTCATGCAGACGCTAGTTTCACTAGACAGGAAGTGAGGGCAAATCTGCAAAATGGGAACACAAGGAAATGAAAATATGACAGGGGTTCTAGCATTCAATACACTATTAAAGAACTGCATTCTTATTTGTGTCGGAGAGTTTCCTTGACTTCCCGTCTGGTATAATGCTGTCAGCAGTACAGGAAGTGAGGGTAAATCGCTTTAACGGAGCCCTGGATCCTGACAAGGTTGTAAACCTTCTCGATCTAACCTGCTGCATCCAAAAAAAAGTTTAGGCTAGACATACACTTTAGGCATCCTCTGCAAGTAATGGGGTCAAAACACGACTTAGGCTAAAAAAAACAACCCAATCACAAAGGGAATTTGATGTGTCCGAGTAAAAAAACTGTTTTGAAGTCCCTTTTGGCAACCAATCAGCTCTTTTTTCCATTGCTAGAGCAGGTTAGATAGGAAGACTCCAATTAGTAGCCAAACGCACTCTTTTTTTTTTTGTGGAAGTGACCCCAATAAAGAGGTGGAAAACTCCCAGTGACCAGAAATCCAACGTGCCCAATAGAATACAAATGGTGCCTACCTTCCAAAGATTTATCCCCACCCTCCTCTCCTTTTTAAGTTCACCCCACACTGCCCACCCTCCTCTCTCTCTTTTTAGGTTCACCTCACACTGTTCAGCCTCCTCTCCTCTTTTTATGTTCACCTTCCTGTCCATCCGACTCTCCTCTTTTTGTGTTCACCCTCCTGTCCACCCGACTCTCCTCCTTTTGTGTTCACCGTCCTGTCCAACCGACTCTCCTCCTTTTGTGTTCACTCCACACTCCCCCAACATTTATGTGTACCGGATGCCAGTTCTCCAGAAAGAATATCAGACCAGCAGAGCATGCAATGGTAAAATAGATATACAACTTATGACATATTTGATACAGTATAGCTGATAAACTCTACTATTGAGCACCCTGTACAATACACCCACGTCTATTCTTCAGGTGGGAGCTGATAAGACTTGTTGAATCTGAAGAGTAAAGAGACAAGGCAGAGCACTGTGGTGCTTTACAGTTAATGATCCGTGACAGAGATGGAATGAAGGATGAGTATAAATGTCAACTGTTTTCTATTTCCAAAGTGGAAGAATTTAGTCTAAACACACATTATGGGAATTCCTCTGCCACACACAGTCTAACCGCTACAATAAAACAAAGCGTGTTCTGACAAAGGAAGACCTGAAGCACAAGTACAAAGGAAGTCATTGATATCATGAATGCTTCATCCTTGAGTCACATCTTTAGGCTGATCACACCCGCACACATAAAAGGCAGCACATGAGCATGTCGCTGGGAAGACTTCCTTACAAACTGCATTCAAATGAACAGCTGCATTATAGAGGAAACCAATTAACCTTTTATCCACAAATATACGAGTGCTGAGCCACTCCCTGATGTTCCACAAAAAACCTACAGTGTCATTTAGGGCTCCTGATGAGAGAAGGGCTTTGTTCGCGCCCTATTTTTAGGGACGGCTCTTCCAAAACAGAGACTTCCATTTTTAGTGCATGCTTGTCATTTGAATTCCGTACCATACTCACATTGCAGGTGGATAAGAACTATGAGAGCAGAGTTACTGGTCTCACCACCTGTGGCGGCATGGACAAGGGTCCTTTTAGAATTATTTTTTTTTTTTTTTATTTGGTAGTGTACAGCATTAAAGGCTCACATAAGGTCCTGCACTTTATTATAGCACCATAGATTACTACAAAAAGGCCACGGACTAGTGGTCATTTTTTTTTTCACCTCACACCGGGTATCCACGTTTCTGAACAAAAAAAATAAAATGTATAAAAAAGGATTCCTCCATCATCAAGGGTTAGGAGCGTTGGGCGAATCCCCCGCTGTTTAAATAGTATTCGGACAAGGGCTGGCGCCCGCTGTCATTACACCTAAACGGAGGTAGAAGCCGATTGGCTGCTAGCTTCTGTCGGTTGAGAATTTTCCAACCAGCTCTTTTGATCAGCTGATCAAGGGATGCTGCGCGGAAGGGTCTTGACAGTGGCACCAACTGTGTGAATTTCCTTCCCGTGTACACCCTACTTTACAGCAAGTCTCCCTGTAAAGGCCCAGACGCATATTTACAGCCATTTCCAGGGAGGTTATAGAAGCACCAACATCATTGTTTTTCTATGACGTGCAGGCTACCTCCTGCATTACAATTCCCATGAGTTCTTCAGTGTGCCTTCGATGGTTGGGGCTTTCTGAGGGAGCAAATTATACTGCAGGAAAGGAGATTGAACCACAAGGCAGGTGTGACACGCCAGCATAGGCACATATGCTTGTAGTCTCAGCCATGAGCATATCAGACAGGGAGACAACACTTGAAAATTCAGAACCCAAATCTCTGTGTTGTCACTTGACAAAGAATGGAGACCTAACAATCTTTTAGGTAGAGATATGTTTGAGAATGCGGAATGCATATTGGCCGGGCTCTTTACCAAGTCATCTATATCCAAGGAAATCCCACCACTGTGACCAGCAACTATAAACTCCTACATTGTAACATACACAGTGCATGTAGCAATGCCTTTAAAAATAAAGGGGGAGCTTTAACCAAAGAAATGTAGAAAAGGTCTATTATGATATGGTCTTGTCACTTCAGATGTATCAGTGTATGACTGATATGTTTAACAAGCATACAGTCCTTACAATGGAGAAGTCTAAAGTACCACTCAGTTGATACGAGAGGAGGACGCTACAGAAATCCTTATTGACTGAATGAAGGTACAGGCCTCTATGGCAAGATTTCTACATATTTTAACATATTTTATTTATTACAGGTATTTCTACCTGCCGACAATTTACGTAGTTGCATATTCACACAAGTTTACAATCTAAGGTCCATATCTCACATGCATGCATACATACATACGTCACTTTAGACAGGAGCCAATTACCCTACCAGCATGTCTTTTTTGGAGTGTGGAGGCCTTTTGATTTCTCCATGACAGGTACATAGTCTGCTATTTACTTAAGCTTTAGAGAAGTAGATGAAGTAGCAAGTGTTCCAAGGTTATCTCCAGATTTGGCTGACTTGTAGATTTTTGCTTGATTGGTATCCAACCTATGACCTTTACTCTGTACCCTGTAGAAATAATCCATTACATCACCCGACATACGTACATGGAATTTACCTTTATTCTGCAGCCTATAACGCCTCCAGGGAACCTTGAGAGAAGAGTTAGAAGATCAGCACAAACTTCTCTTTAACCAAGAAGACTTCAACTTTATTGGGGAACTCCAAGGGGATCCCATGGGACATAAAATCCATCTCATGTTCTGTCCCAATGATTTCTCCTGGTTGGAGTATAGCAAGCTACTGGAAGTTTCCCTCTCAACTATCACACTCCTCGCTTTATCACAGAAAGGAAGACTAACACCCCTGTGGAGGAAACAAACTCCAATTCTGCCACCAAACCTCATTCTCTTAGTCATTAACCACAACTTATGATTACATATAGGGATGGGGTTATCGGCTGACCGGTTACTGCAGAAGGTGCTACCTGTTATGTACGCCTGTTTCTTGGTGGTAAAGACAAAATCGCTCTTCCACAGCTGGGAGATCACAAGTCTCAACATGCCACTACAGTGGATGTTACATGCTGGTGTTTGCAATAACTTGGCATAACTATATAACAGACTCAGCTGGAATGCCTGGCAAAGCTTTTTCCTGCCTTTGCACTGCCATAACATCCTCTCTGGATTGTTCAAAAGAACACGAGCCAAAATCTTTTCAGCATGTTTCAGGATAAGTGGCTTAAGCACATGCTAGATATCAAGTTGGCTTTAAGGAGATTATGTAGTCAATGTTAATTAACAGACAGGTTCTTGCTTACATCATTTTCCTCTTTGCAATCCCTTTAACACGCAATGCTCTGTGGGCACAATGAAAATAACACTTTGGAGAGATCCATATTACTGTCAAAAAGGAAAAAAAGTCCTCTGCAAACTGTAGTTATAAATTAAGCGTGAAAGTGATTCAAACCTCAATTATGCCCTGGGCAGCCCCTTTCAACACAAGTCTCGCTCCTGAATAATGGATATTAAGAATGCCCCCAACCCCATTAAACAATGTAATGCCTGAGTGACCTAACAATACATCCAGGCCACCAATGCCAATGGATATGCAAATCTAAGAAAGCTGTTCGCAAAAACACTTCAGCTGGTCTAACATTGGAAGGGCAGTCTGCTAAAGTTAACATATAGCCTGAAAGCTTACCTTGTCAGCTATCAGATGCTTCTCTAATGTTTTCTAATGCAGTTGAAAGTTTTCCATAGATTTACTTTAAATTGTTTCAGCAGGTAAAGCGAGTATTAGGGCCTGCGCACACCTAGGTGACACCTCACCGCGTGGCAATCGTGCACGATTCCGCGTGGATTGCCACACAGTCACGGTGTCACCCAGCACAGACTGTTCCCAATGCGATTCCGCCCGTGCTTCCGAACACAATCGCAGCTAAAACAGCCGCGTGTCATGTATTGCAAAAAAAAAAAAAAAGGTACACGTCCCTTTTTTTGGCGATTGCCACGTGGATGTCACCCCATTGGAATCAATGGGGCAGCGCGGCAGGGATGCGCGATCCCGGATCACTCAGGTCTGTACCAGGCCTAATAAGGTTGGACGTTCCCAGAAACTCTGTCCTGCATGGGAAAAAAAGGTGTCTCTA